AGCAAAGGCGCGACGCCTCCAGTGTCGATTTGTGCTGGCTTGTTGATTGTGGAATTGTCTGTGATGGATGGGAATGACAAAAGGAGAAGATGAAGGCAGGTGTTGCACGGGAAGTGCTTAGGGAAGTCGCTGGTCGGCACGTTATTACCTGAGGTTGCTGAAGCCAGGTGGAGTGGAGTTCCTGTCCCTCAAGTCTGCTGTTTCTTGTGTGACGTTATAGGCTCGGGTTGAGGAAGGCACGCACTGGCACTGGCAACACAAAATTAATAAGGCAAGGACCGCCGGGCGCAAGTTGCCTTTGCCGCTCGCCGACTGAAATTTCCCAAAAGTGGTAGCCCATGCGATCGAGATCCCCGAAGGTCCACAGAGGGGGTTTATAGACGAAGACAAAACATCCGGGAATCTTAAGGCAATGATAGTATTTCTGGCGTCATCAAACATTGCCCGCCATTTGAATTAGGAAAGCAATTCAGCCAAGCAACAACACCCTACACTTTCAGTGGTCTAAACCACTCTCTCACTGACATTAAGCTGAAGGGAAACTTGTGTTGGGTAGGATATGGTTCTGGTTATAAGTAGGAAAAACCCCGTTGGTGTTGAGACCGTGGCTCTAACATATCTTACCCTACTGAATATTTTTGCCTATGGATCACTACGAGATCCCGAATAATTTCAGCTATGTCTTCAGAGAGGACGCGAGGGATAATGTGACCAATGAAACTGGTAATTCCATTTGATGTTGTCTCTTGGTATTCATAACTGTAGTCGTTAAACAACGATCGATATACCCTAGCACGATCTTCGTCAAGGAATAGCATAGGAACCCTTGTGCTACGCAAGCCAAAATGCTATAGGCTATCCGTTTGTTCTAAAAGACTTCCGATGGGAAGCTCGAAAAGGAGCTTTACTCTATCTGCAGTTACATCTGTCTGTTATGGCGTCCTTGAACAAGCATTGTATATTGAGCGGAGCGGGCATCTGCATAACAGTCTTGGCCAACCTGCATTGAATGGAAAATGGCACAATGGAAAGACTCGCTGCCTCTGGCTCTTCGGCACCTTGGTAAGTAACTATATCTTAGTAGCCTCGAGCCAACATTGGACTGATTGGGCTTGGGCTGGCCATGAGATGTTGGCTCCCATCATCAAGGAGACGCCTTGAATGGAAGCAACCCAAACCCACTGAGACTGGGAAATAGACGTTGTGCCCAATCCTCCAACCATCGTACCAAAATCCAATGTAGTCCTTGATTGGTAGAATAACGCGAAGCTTGACACAACAGCTTCATGCCTCCGTGCCGGGAACCCATCATGGGCGCTGACGTCACCATTATTATTGTTCGATCTCAAACACCCCCGCTGCGATTGCCTTACATGTCAACTGAACATCGATGATGAAATGCATACGATTTTGCCATGATGGCTTGCATGCTATAATGTGTAAGCAAATAGCTCGTTTGCGAGGAGGTATATAAATCTGCTGGGGAAGCTTCAGTTTTTGTGCTTGAGTTCTGATCTTATCTTCAAACATCAACATCAACACAAAACACTCCCACCGCATACCAAACCAGACAAAATGTCTTTCTCCAACACAAACACTGGCGATGCCCCTGCCGACCCTTACAAGAAGGCCAACGTTGAGGAGGCTCCCCTCCAGACCAAGATTGAGGATCTCGTCCACTTCATCACCAAGGAGAAGTTTGGCATGATGACCACCCGGGGCTCAGGTTCTGGTAACCTAGTATCTCGCTGCATGGCGCTGGCTGCCACAGTATGTGTGCCTTCAATTGATATTAAAACTCTATCTGACATTTTTGTAGGAGACTGGAGGTATCGACCTTCTCTTCCACACCAACACCGAGTCTGGCAAGACCGACGACCTCGATGCTGACCCTCATGTCAACGTTTCTTTCATCAACGCCTCCGGAGAGTGGGCTTCCATTGCTGGTAATGCTAGTATCAGCACAGATCGCAGTCTTGTTTCCAAGCACTACAGCCCTACCCTCAAGGCTTGGCTTGGTGATCTCGGTGACGGTGTCCATGATGGCTCTGAGAACGACCCTCGTATCGGAATTATCCGCGTCAAGACAGTCTCAGTCACCTATTCGCTCGTTTCCAAGAACCTGCTGAGCCGCGCTGCCGACATCGCTTCTAGCGCCGTCACTGGCAAGCCTGCTTCGCCCAATACATTGAGGGAGATTTCGGAAGGGGATGTGCGATCTTGGCGCGCTTCGCGAGAGTAATATTCTGAATAATGCAAATCTCGCTTGTACGATAGGACTTTTATCAAAGGTGATACGAATTCATGACAATATTAGCAACCATTCACAGCTGCTTTCCGTACTCAGCTTTCCATAGCCTATCCCACTTCTCCTTGTCAACTGCAAACTCTCGTACGTAGTCGAGCTCCAGCTCGTGTGTTCTTCGACCAAGAAGGACGAGACTGTGAAGAGGAGGCCCGAGTTCCTCGTCGGTAGAGCAAAGCTCCTCCAAAGTACCAGCCACGAACTTCTCTGTCTTACCTCCGACGCGAGCAGCGCCAATGGCCAGACTGTCCTTGGTATAGACACCCTCCTTACGCTCATCCTCAATCTCTAGCATCTGTTGAGCACACTGGCCGACAGTCATGTATCGAGGAGGCTCGTAGACCAGACGACCTCGGGCCATATTCTCGAGACTCTGCTCCTTAACCTTGATATCTACCAAGACTAATGTGTGTAAACCAATCTGACGGTTCTCCTTTATCCGATCGTAGAAAGATGCGGGCTTCCATGTATCAGTGAAGAAAACCATTGACACAGTTTGACCAAAGTTGTAGAGCTGAAGACCGCAGGCGCCAATCCCGGACATGATGGAGGCGTTGGGAACGGTTCGGACGGGGATTTCGAGTTCTCGCGCACGGAGAACGAGGTCTGTATGAGTAGTGGCACTATGGTGTATCAGTATACAGCTGTACGTTGGATTACTAGATCATACCCGAAGGGATCTCCAACAACAAGGAATGCAACATCCTCATTTTGCGCATTTCGGAGAATCTCGTCGCTGTTTGACTCAACCATCTCACGGTCAGCTACAGTGATGGAGCGTCCATAGTAAGATTCCTTGTATAATTAGCATTGGTTCATGGGTTATGGGAATGGTTGCATGTACCAGGACAGATTGCTCGACAAGCAGAATGCTAGTATAAGCCTCCAAATAGACCCTGGAGGCTTTCTTGACGACCTCAAGGCCCTTGACAGTAATATCTGTCTCGTCAGAGAGACCAAGTCCTACTAAGTACAGCATTGTGATCCTTTCCACGTCTGATTATCGCAGTAGTGTCTGGTGGTGAAAAATTGTCCCTAGGCCGCGACTCAAAAAATAGAGATGCCCCGCGGCGGGGTATTTTTAGCGCTTCTATCTGTGACCTCATGCCAAGCACCCCTGTCGCTCTAAAGCAATTATGGCCTGGGATAATTCGCACGGTTGGCGCCATGTTTAGCACCAGGACGATATTGCGGTTTTGACGAAGTGCGAGACTAAGTATATTCAGAAAGACCAAATGCTAAGTTTGGATCTGCGGTGAGTATATGCCAGAGATAGACTACAGGTCATAGTTCAATCACAAGAAACGAAATTACCGTTTAAGATCGTGCCTTTGAGTTAGATGCTGTCTCCATGTGAGTCTCATTTTTTTTTTTTTTTGGCTAGATCCGGTACAAATCCTACTACTATGATCGCGTCCCAACTTTTAGCATCCATGATCATTCTAGACCTATTCGCTTTCCTCCTAACATATTGATATAACCCACGATGTCCGACTCCAAGAAAGGTGCCTATAGTGGCGCGCCATCAGGCGATACCGATTTTCGAAAGACCTATGACCTCGACGAATACGCTGCCAAAGCCAATGAACGCGAGGCAAAGGAAAAAGAAGAGGCCAAGGCGCGTTACGAAGCCAAGCTTGCAGGCAAGAAATACCACAAGCCTTTGACAGGCGACGAAACATACACATCAGCGCGCCGAAATGTTATAGACCTCACACAACAAATCGGAAAGACGCAGCTGGTCCCCGGAGGTGCAGGCGTTGGAAAGCGTGGACGCGGAGCTGGTTTCTACTGTGAGCCTTGCGACCTCACATTCAAAGACAACAAACAATACATCGAGCATCTCAACACGCCACAGCACTTGATAAATACGGGCCAAACGACTGAAGTCAAGCGCGCGACGGCAGAGGAAGTCCATGAACGCATTGAGTACTACATCCGACGGCGAGACGAGCTAGAGAAGGAGAAGCAGACTAGCCTACACGAACGACTACAGTTGCGAGAAGAAGAGGCTGAGAAAGAAGCCGAGGAGCGGAGGAAGAAGAGAAGAGAAGACAATGAGAGGAAGAGGCTTAAGAAGGAGGAGGATGCAAGGGTGAAGATGGAATACGGAGAGGACGTGCGGGTTGATGGTGAACATGACGAAGATGATATGATGGCAGCAATGGGCTTTACTGGATTTGGGACGTCGAAGAAGTGATGGATATCCAAGTCGTTTAATGATACCCCGTGTTCAACATTGTTTTATATGAAAAGTATTGCCGGAGGGGTGTATAACAGTCAAGAATCTAACAGACGGTTCGAGATATCACAATACTGCAGAGGTCGGTGCGAGTGAAGCAAACAACCTTAGATAATAGTGCCAGGCAAGATTTTGATACAGCAGGCATTGCTTCCATGACTCAACAGATGTAAACCAAAGCAGCCAATCTTGTGAAATGGATCAGCGAATTGCTTTTCAATTTCTCTTCATGGAATCCGTGAGGCGGGGCCGTTTTCCAACTAGAGCCTAACGACTCCCCCACCACCCGCCGCCCACCAGAACATTAGGTCCAGTAGTAATGGATCACACCTCTACGGACTGATCTTGCATATACATATACAACCTCACCCGCTTTTACTGGCACACTTCAACTTTACTTTACAAGTGCTAAGCTAGAACCTCACCATCAGCGCCTCGTCCACAGAAGACATCATGGCTGCTAGCTCTGCCCCAGCAGCTTCGTTGCTCAAGCGACAGCTCAAAGAGATGCAGGCTGGCAAGGATATTCCAGGCATCTCATGTGGCCTCGTAAACGATAACAACATCTTTGAATGGGAGGTGATGCTCATGATTAGCGACGACTGCAAATACTACGGCGGTACAACCAGAGCCCAAGCTCGCTTCCCCCTCATGACCTTTGACATACGCTGACCTCGATTTCCAGGAGGCAACTTCCGGGCTCGTCTATCCTTTCCGTCGAGTTACCCTCACATGCCACCCTCACTCACATTTCAAGACCCCATTCCTTTCCATCCGAATATCTACGAAAACGGCAAGCTCTGCATCTCCATCCTCCATCCTCCCGAGGAAGATGAGTACGGTTACGAAGCAGCTTCTGAACGCTGGAGCCCAGTCCAGACGCCCGAAACTATTCTTCTCAGCACCATCAGTCTTTTCCACAGCCCCAACGACGAGAGCCCTGCCAACGTGGAGGCTGCACGTATGTTCCGCGAGGAAAAGGAGGGCAAGAATAAAGACTTCCGAAAACGTTGCAGAAAGTGTGTAAGGGAGAGCTTGGGAGAGGATTAGATGCAAGGCTATTCTCTATATATGTGGCTATCATGGGAGTATGAAGCATACGTGGGTTGGCGTTAGGTGGGAAACGCCTTGCGGACGATCAACAGCGTTCAAGCGGTGTCATGGAGCCTTTGGCGTATTTTAAATCAGTGTTGAACCATCAGCGAAATAACGACTCTCCACTATTATTACGCAGGAACATTAAGATGGCTTTTAGTCGTTGATTTCTCTCTTGGGTTGCAGTATCTAAGTGCTCTCTTCACCAACAAGCCCAATGACTTTGCCAACTACGCGATCCCATTCCTGATCCCATCTCAGAGAGCCTTCACTAACAGCACCCTTCTTCAAACGAGCCAACTCCTCTTGCCCAGAAAGACTCAGCAATCTCGCAAGAATCTCCGCCAATTCTGATGAGGTTTCGAAACCGCAGCCATTTTGACCTTCCTTGACAAGCTCGCTGAAGCTCTCAAAAGCTGAGTATGCTGCGACAGGGAGACCGGCACCAAACATGTCCACTACCTTCATGGGAAGATCGACACCCGAGCTGGACTTATGTAGCGAGATACCAAGGTCTGCCGAAGCAAGAAGTGAAGCATAGTCCCTGGTGGAAAGCCACGCTGTTATGATACGAACGCCAGGTAGTTTGCCCTCCTCCTGAATTGTCTTGATTCTTTCAAGGTAAAGTTCTTTCTGCGGACCCTTACCAGTAATTATAGCTAGAATGGGCGAAGCCTCTGCAGAACTGGCATAGGATACGAGAGCATCCAGGAGCAGACCAAAATCCTCGTCTGGCGTCCACGAAGTGCTACTCACGATGAGTCGTACTGCTCCATCGACAATATCCTTGGCAATATCTTTAGTCTCTGCAAGCCGAGACAAAAAGGCCAGACGCTTCGCAGTCGAGAGAATAGGCTGAAACACCTGGGCAGGTCGGTCATGAAGTGTGAGGACAGAACGCTTCAGGTTGAAAGGCTTCTCCTTGAGCTGGCGGGCCATAGCATCGGTGACAGAAAGGTTGACGTCTCCCAGATAGCGTCCGAGGCCGGTTTCATACCAACGGTACACAGGAACCAATGGCTTAACATACCACTTCCCTTGCGCCAGAATGGTGTAGCCATAATTATGCCAGTCCACTACAAGCTTGCTGCCTCGTAGGAAGGAAACCAAGAGTGCAACGTGAAAAGTCGGAATCGAGGGAGGGTTCTTGGGGGGTTGTTATCATAAAGCTAAAAAGAGCCGTAGTATGTGATATCAACTTACTTGAATGATGATCCATTTTGCAGCAGGAGCATCATACATCAAGGTACTGAATAAGCCCCAGAACTGCCATAAAACCTTGAGAGGAATGTTGAGAAAGAAGGGCAATGTTCCCCATTGAAGGACTTCAGGTTGTGGTGGGAGTGCATACATAGCGACGCGAGGGTTCCCGATGAGATCAGGGTGTCTTGAGGTTTCTATCAAGTGTTAGCTTCTGCACAAAATTCATGAGATCCAGACGATGGAATAATACCTTTGTAGCCCACGATATCGACATTGCGACCATGTTTGGCAACACTCAAAGCATGATATTGCATGCGAGGACTGCGCCCGACGTCGCCGACGACAAGAATCTGAATATGATCATCTTCAGGTTTCTGAGATGGCTGATAGCGAGTAGGAATAAGGATCGCAAAACCACGTATCAGCCACACCAGGAAGATACAGCTGAGACCGCCGGCAATGACGGAGACAATAAAAGCGGCTGACATATTAAAGAAATGAATCGGCAATCATGGCATGGCGTCGAGACTAATATGAATCCTTTTGGTGGTGCCCGCAGCAACCAGTTATGAGCGTTGTTGGAGTTGTGTTGGCTAAGGCCAAGGCCACCTTGCACTCTGGTCGAATGGATTTGAGGTTCCACAGGCGAGGACGCACAGGTACCGACGGTAAGAAAGCAAGGAGAGAGATAACGAAACAAAGCGATCTCGATTGAAGCTGATCCCAGAAGACGATCAAACATAGAGATTAATAAGTATTCTATTGACGCACAAGGTAAGCGAGAGTTGAAGATAAAAAGTGTCAGGCTGTGGGAGTAACGAAAAAGGCTTTGTGAATCATTCCACGCTCAAACTCAAAAGAAACAGCACCAGCTGCTTTCATCTAATTCAATCCAAAACAACAAATGTAAACTTTTTATGCTGCAGGGGAGGGAAGATGCAGTGTAACAAGCAACAAACCTGGCTCCATTGCTGTAATGAACGTCATAGCTTATGTCTCTTTGTCAAGCAAAGCAATCTACCTAGTAGGTGATGCGAGAAAACATAGCACCTTATTAATCCTACTTACAAGGTAGGTAGGTGGGTGATAGAAATACTTCGACGGACTTGAGATTGACTCAGAGTAAATGAAAAGCCTAAAATCTAACAAGGCACCTAGCTGTAGTTTTTGTTAAGTAGAATTGTTCAGCCTATTTGCGCTCCGATACTCTCTAGGTGTATAATACTGTGTAAAGCACAAAGATGGGAAACGGGAGATTATCACACCTCATCTCTAGATGAGGTTCAGGGGTTGAGATGCAACTCTGCTGCGGGGTGTGATAGCATTATGCCTAAAAGCGAGCTAGAGCATCAAATGCACTAACTTTTAGCGGAAAAGTAACCGCATGCAGGGGAGACGCCAAACTTTCCAGCGCTCAGCCAGTCAAAACTGACCATCCCCTAGGAATCCCCGACCAAACGACAAGGCCATGAGGGGACCAATCCATGATGCATCAGAGGATCAGGAAGGAGCAATCCAGATCAACAGTCAAGTGACTCCGAAATGGTATCAAGTCTTGGCGAATAGAGCAACCTTAGCAACTCTTTCACCGACTCAAGACCATCTTTTCAGCAGGATAAGATAGCTCAACTCTAATCCATTGATCGAGTCATTAACTTTCCCTCTCAGCTGTTTCCATCTTGGGTCTTAATCCTCTTGGCTTCCCGTCGATCGCTGCTCATTCGGGTCGTCACTTTTAGCTCCACGTGCTGGAGTCTCCTATCTCTAGCCCGCCACACCACCACAGCTCTTTCACGCCTCCCGCGTCTACCTCTGAAAAGGATTCTTGACGTCCCACGATCTCTTTCTCTTGTCTTTCTATATCCGATCCGGTACAGCTGCTTGCGACGCGCCCGTTTCACAAATTCAATTTTACACTCGACTGATGACGTTGCGATTGGCCCTAGGGGAGGCGTAAGGACTCTGTTTTGAAATCGCCAATACTTGCGCCGATATCCGATCACCGCCCTCATTGAGCGACTCTACGACTTAGTTCAAGATCGAACTTTTGACTTAAGCACCCATCCCGAGTTCTATAAATTAACATGGCGTCCTCATACGCCCTTCCGACCTCCTCTCTGCCGCATGCGCATCAGAACCATATGCATTCACACACACGAAGTCATTCTCAATCGTCGTTGAACAACATTAGACGGCAATCGACTTTCTCCAACGGGAGCCTTCCATCAGTACCTGACGAAGACCATAACCACGATACTAGCCACGATCATGCGAATGGGAACGGAAACCATTCTGCACACTCACACAATCCGAGCGTCCACAAGCATGGACACAGACGCTCCCGCATGTCCAACACAAGCGCATCCATTGCCCGCGAGAAGCTCCCTCCAGCACCATTAAACACCCTAGAGGGTTGGACAGAAGAGAGAACACCGGGAGGCAAGAGTATACTTACACCAGGTCCCGAATCGGCCAACATGACTTATTCCCCTCCGGAACTTCCTCACCACCATCATTCTCACGACCATTCACATTCCCACGACCACTCGCACTCTCATAGTCACGATCACTCACATAGTCATGATCATAGCAATCATTATGGACATGATCATGGCCATCCGCATGATGACGACAAGGGCAAAAGATCATTATTCACCCGCATGATTCTGCCGTATACAACAAGATTTCCCATTTTGAATGCGATTTTAATTGAAAAGGATTCCAGGCGAATTTTCTACTTCATGGCGTAAGCAAAACCACGTAATTTACCTGGAATGTTTAGTTAATTCAGATCTCCGTCTAGACTCAACTTTTCGTTCATGGCTGTACAGGCGTTTTACGGCTACGTCACAGATTCCCTTGGTTTACTGAGCGACAGTATCCATATGTTCTTTGATTGCGTGGCGCTCATGGTGGGCCTGTTGGCTGCCGTATTGAGCAAATGGCCTCGAAGCCAGAGATTTCCTTATGGCTTCGGCAAGATTGAGACACTGAGTGGATTCGCCAACGGCATCTTGTTGATGTAAGTAACTTTCGGGACATCTGCAGGTCCGGTATTAACCTATTGGGTGTAGGCTACTCAGTGTCGAAATTGCCTTTGAGGCTTTCGAACGGTTGTGGGAGGGAACTCAGACAAAGCGATTGGGCGAGCTCTTTATTGTGAGCACTCTGGGTCTTCTTGTTAACCTGGTTGGAATGATGGCATTCGGCCACCACCATCACCACGGACACGATCATGGACACGATCATGGACACGACCATGGGCATTCTCACAGCCATGATCATGGCCATAATCATGGCCATAATCATGGCCACGACCACGGCCATGACAACGAGAACATGCACGGTATTTACTTGCATATTCTTGCCGATACCTTGGGTAGTGTGTCGGTCATCGTATCGACAATATTAACGAGCTTTTGGGGGTGGGCCGGATGGGATCCGTTGGCGTCATGCTTTATTGCTGTTCTGATCTTTCTTTCATCCAAGCCGCTGGTATACTCGTCAGCAAAACGGCTGCTGCTCAGCATTCCGGAGGATACAGAGTACAATCTTCGAAACAGCCTGGGTGGTATTCTGAACCAAAGAGGAGTAGTAGGCTATTCGTCGCCAAAGTTTTGGCGGGATGACCACAGCGCTAGCCCTAGTGGAGGAAAGCTCTTGGGCGTTGTTCACGTAGTGGCAGCAAGAGGAGCTCCGTTGGAAGACGTCCGAGATCGAGTGCGCGAATATCTCTTGAGAGAAGGGGCAGA